GAGGTCCGGATCACATTTTCATCATATCAAACCCATTTCAACCCCGCCAATACTTTGCTTCAGCTTATTACCACACCTACACAAACATGATGAATGATTTATCAGAAACAACATAGGAAAGTTACATCATTGCAAGTTTCTCTGACATGCTGTCATCTGAGCAGTTTTTCCTCCAAATGCAAAAACAGCCTGTAAGCCCAATGTGCCCATTCCCATTATCACCAAATCTGATATTGTTACTACCATCACTTAACAGAAAAAAAGAGATTAAAAAAAAAAAAAACCTTTAGGGCCCAATGAAATAAGGACACAAAATAATAGATGTTTACCCCAAAAAATACCAGACAAAGACAACAAGACAGTTTGCAGAAACTGAAAAGTTGACCAGTAAGGACTCAAAAAGGATCTCATCACAAAGCCAACTGACAGGATTATGAAAATTTAATATTTGGATTTGGAAATAATGAAACTGGCAAAGATTGATCAGTAGGACTCAAGATGTATCTCGTCACAATAATGTTCAGAGGTCCGGATCACATTTTCATCATGTCAACTTTACCACAATCTCACGGGTTGGCTGTTTTAGCCCAGAAGAGGTACATTCACACAAACACTTGCAACAGAATTTTAAAAAATTTTTTATGTGTTGAGCCAAAAAAATACAAAATCCACAAAGGTGACAAAAACCTCATTTCCTCATTCCACTTTATCTGAGCACACAATCTTCACTTTATATAACTTCAATCCCACATGAAATAGATTCCATTTCTCCCTCCCTCCTGGTGAAATTATGATGTAAGAAAAATCATTGAGATGTGGAAGGGAAGACAAGGCACCTAAATGCAAGAATCATGAGCTAGGAAATCTATTTCTCCTATTCTCCTCCTTCCCAGTGAAATTATAATGTAAAAAAATCGTTGAGAAGAACCCTAAATGCAAGAACTTAGAGCTAGGAAATAAGAAAGGAAGATGGAGGAACTCCCACCCATTATCTCCTCACAAAGGGACAATAACATCCAGATGAAGTTTTGAGCACACGGTGAGAAGAACTAAGGTTGATCAGCAGGACTCAAGTGGATCTCATCACAAAGGTGTTCAGAGGTCCGGATCACATTTTCATCATATCAAACCCATTTCAACCCCGCCAATACTTTGCTTCAGCTTATTACCGCACTCACAAAAACATGATGAATGACTTAAATCAGAAACAACATAGAAATGTTACATCATTGCAACTTTCTCTGACATCTTGTCATCACAGCAAATGCAAAAACTGTAGGCCCAATGTGCCCACTCCCATCATCATCAAACCTGATATTGTTATATCAACATTTAATAGAGAGAGGGGGGGGGGGGAGGAGACACACGACCTATAGTGCTTTCACCAAAAAAAGGCCCAATGAAGAAAAAGGACACAAAATAATAGAAGTTAACCAAAAAAATTAACTGACAAAGACAACAAGACAGATTGCAGAAACTGAAAAGTTGACCAGTAAGGACTCAAAAAGGATCTCATCATAAAGCCAACTGACAGAATTATAAAAATTTAATATTTGGATTTGGAAATGATGAAACTGGCAAAGATTAATCAGTAGGACTCAAGATGTATCTCGTCACAATGATGTTCAGAGGTCCGGATCACATTTTCATCATGTCAACTTTACCACAATCTCACGGGTTGGCTGCTTTAGTCCAGAAGAGGTGCATTCACATTTACATTTGCAACAGAAATTTCCATTGTTAAAATCTGTGTTGATAAGACTCCCAAAAAATAAAAAATCCACAAAGGTGACAAAACTCATTCCCTCATTCTACTTTATCTGAGCACACAATCTTCACTTTAAATAACTTCAATCCCACATGAGATAGATTCCATTTCTCCTGTTTTCTTCCTCCCTCCCTCCCTCCTGGCGAAATTATGATGTAAGAAAAATCATTGAGATGTGGAAGGGAAGACAAGGCACCTAAATGCAAGAATTATGAGAAAGGAAACCTATTTCTCCTATTCTTCCTCCTTCCCAGTGAAATAATGATGTAAAAAAATCGTTGAGAAGAACCCTAAATGCAAGAACTTAGAGCTAGGAAATAAGAAAGGAAGATGGAGGAACTCCCATCCCTTAGAGATTTGTCACTCCTCACAAAGGGACAATAACATCTAGATGAAGTTTTGAGCACATGGTGAGAAGAAAACAAAGGTTGATCAGCAGGACTCAAGTGGATCTCATCACAAAGGTGTTCAGAGGTCCGGATCACATTTTCATCATATCAAACCCATTTCAACCCCGCCAATACTTTGCTTCAGCTTATTACCACACCTATACAAACATGATGAATGATTTATCAGAAACATTGAAAAGTGTCCTCATTGCAAGTTTCTCTGACATGCTGTCATCACAGCAGTTTTTCCTCCAAATGCAAAAAAAGTCTGTAAGCCCAATGTGCCCATTCCCATCATCACCAAATCTGATATTATTGTTACTACAATCACTTTACAGAAAAAAAGCGATTTAAAAAAAAAACTCTCTGGGCTAATAAAGAAAAAGGACACAAAATAATAGATGTTTACAAGAAAAAAAACTGACTATGACAAGACAGTTGATAAAGATTTCAAAAGTTGACCAGTAAAGACTCGAAAAGGATCTCATCACAAAGACAACTGACAGAATTATGAAAATTAAATATTTGGATTTGGAAATCCACGGAAGATTGGACACACTGCATAAAGGGTTGTAAAAATTTTTTTACAGCGGCACCCATCGCAAATCTGGTAGTAGTGGTAGTTTTGACATCTGTATCGGTATGGCAGGAGAACAGGTCCAAAATCATTATGATAGACTGAGGTAAGTGGCTTAAGTTCTTTGTTATCACATCTGGCCAGATTCTGACCAATTCGCAGGTCAAAAAGTATTGCAGACCAGCCCGCATTGATTGCATAGATGGATAAGAAAGTGCAGAAAATGCACAATCTAGCAGGTTTCTACAACAATAACTGATTTCCGAGAGAATAACTGCAAATATCTGGAATTTATCCACGACAATGTGAAGGCAAGTACGGATTCTTCAATGTAGAACATCTGTAGCCCTATACACTCGCACTTTTTACAGATAGAATTGATATTGATGGAGGAGCAGGTACAGAATTTTCCGAAAATACGGATTTCTGTAAAAATACAAAAAAGATTGGAAGCACTGAAGAGGGGGGGGGGGATAAAAGCAAATAAAAGAACATGATTAAAGAACAGGAAAGGAGGTGAAAGCACAACATTTTATAAAAAGAACATGTTTTATTGTTTGTCATGTTTCTACACTAGGACCTTTTGAAAGGGAAGCAACACTACCTCTGGACCACGAGATTCCCCACTCTAATAATAATATATGACATGTACAGAGCACTCAAATAGTAACAAATCATGAACTTGATCAGAAAGACTCAATGTACCTCTCATCAGAAGTATGTGAAATTCAGAGGTCCGGAACACATTTTTCATCACATCAAGTTCAAGCTCAACCCTTCTGACCTGAGCACACACCCCAGCATATGATACATAAATCATTCTACACACAGAATGAACTCCTTAGCAAGAGTTGTCCCCATTGAGTTAGGGAGCATGGGTCCTATTACCTGGATGAAATGGCAGCGGCTCAAGAGTTATGCTAAAATTGATTCTTGTTTGAAAAAGTATGTGTTGGTATCGAAAGGTCAGGGGTCAAAACAAAGTGTAAATCTTGAGAAGTTAAGAACAAAATGACTCACGTTTGTCCTTGTTCTGAATCTCATGAACAATTTTCTGCTTGTTCAAGTTCAACAACACTGAGTAGATGGTTTGACGCAAGGGTCTGTACAGGTCAATGTATGATGGCAGCTCACGTGTTGTGTCATCTTCTAGAATCACAGGTAGTTTCACTTCTCCCTTTGAGAGGAAAAATTTTTAAAAAGAAAATAAAAGAGCAAGCCAATTTAACATCTTTAAAAAGGACCTTAAAACAAGTACTTCAAGCATTAAAATGTACATTTTAAAAATTGAGGTAAGGTACTATCCAGCTTAATATACTCAAACAATCAATATGCTGCAATAAACCATCTGCCTCCAATAGGCAATGACAAATATTAACCCTCATCCTGCGAGAGCCGGGTTTATGTCGCCCGATAAGCCTATTTTGGCACCTTGCCTACGTTCTGGTCCCGAATCAGTGTAGCCCCTGGCTCAGCGCACGCGCAGCGCGCATCCTCTTACGTATCATTCGGGTCCCGAGTCGGATCCCCATTCGCGAAGGTCAAGTGTGTGTGCGTCAGTCTGCTTGAGTTTGTGCGCGTTTGTGGCCTTCTTCTAGAACAGCCTGCGTTGGTTCGTAATCGAGGCATACGTCTCATTCAAAACATGCCACGTTGGTAGCTCTAGATGTTCGTCCAATGAAATTATAGAAAAAATTGACCCACTTAGACATGAGGAGCTCGAAAGGATAGTCAGGAAACAAGACTTTCATTTTTCTATACAAAATATTTCAAATGAGCTTGATTTTGTATGAAATGATACTACCTGATAAAAAATAAGCTTGTTTGATAGTTTTGAATACCATTGTGCAGGTACAAAGAACAATTTGAGTGTAAAACTTCGGAAATTGACCTAAATTATCCCCTTTCGAACCTCAGGTCATTCATAACAACAAGAGTGTCCAGAAAGGTTATTTGAATGGGCGTAACTACTCGTAATGTCTTATCAGCTTGAGAGAGTGGGTTATTCGTGTGTTTGTAACACTTTATAAATAGAAAGCTATGAAAGAGCGTCATTTTCATCATCGGTTAACACACTCCCACAGTATTCATGGCGAAAACACACGTTTCCCGGCGCGCGCGCGCTGTACACCAACAGTACACACTGAGTGACCCCGGCACGTCCGGCGTAAATGGTTGCTGATAAGATACGCATCTGGGCACAGACGCAGGATAAAGAGTTAAATTATGAATTCTAACTATCCTATATTACTTGGGAAAAGATAAATATGGTGTAAATTTCCGTGTTGCTATGGTAACAGCGGCCATCTTGAAAATATATATACAAAACATGGAGTAAGTTAAGCAGAAAAACTAGGTAAAGAGACGGTGTGATACTGTTTCACCCTAGCAGTCACACAACGGGCAGTCAGGTGGAGTATCCTTGTGGATCCCATTTCGATAAGAATTCAGTAGGATGTGTTGAGTTCGCAGGCGAAAGATAGTGACTTCTCTTCTGCTGAAGGAATTTAGTTCGGAGCAATTAGGTGTGCAAATGCCAAATACAGCTCTTCCAGTTTTGCTGATGTTCTTGACTGTTTTGAGGTTGTGTTTGTGATGCTCCCTTCTTAGCAACAGTGTCAGCTCTGTCATTTCCTGGGATGTTGCTGTGGCCAGGTATCCACCGTAAAGTCAGGTCGACGGCATAGGTCTGCTTGAAGGTGCTAATAGTTAAGAGCCACAGATAGACAAGCTATGCTTTCAAAATTCATGTTTTCCAAAGCTTAGAGTACTGATTTTCCGTCTGTGAAGGTAAGTGTCCTTGATTTTGTCTGGACATTACACGGCGCACCGGCAGTGGAATTTTAGTTGCCGCGGGGATTCCCCAGCGGGCGCCTTATCATGTCGGGGTCACGGGGGTCAGCTCCCTGTCGCCGCTCTGTCTGGGCCGACCTAATTTTTGGTACTTTTCAACGTACAATTTAAGGTGTATCCTTGTATTTATGGTAATTCTCATTTAGTGCACTCAAAGCACGCATTTCTGCTCTTGAGACTCAAAAAAGAACGGACGTTGTATAACTTGTCTAGTTATTTCGTTAGACGTGCTGGAGTCGGCAATGCTAAATTGTAATTTTTGGGGGGGCTAGCGGGAATGAAAAAAAAATCAATATATAAAAAAGGCATCGTCAAAATCTGTTGAACTTTTGGAACATGAACGACATAACATTGGTGCAGATACTCAGAAAAGATGGTATCTGCGCATATAATAGAAGGCTGTAATTTTACAATTTTATCCATCGGGCACACAATTCGCTATGAAGTAATTCCTCCAAATACAACTTTATGTGTCTAATATAATCGTGAATATTCGCATATTTTCTCGAATGTTTATAAAAGTCACCAGGAAGTTTCTCTATGGAAAGTACATTTTAATGCTAGAATACATCTTCAACGTAGATCTAATACACAAACAGTATCTGTTACACTCCAGAAATTCCTTACTTTTCTTAAAACGCTGAGTCTAGGTTTTGTAAGTTGACTGAATAATAAGGATGACTTCTCGTAATTGGGTTATACGAATAATTTCTAGCTTTCCAGGGACACTGAATAAGCACCAAACTTTTCCAGCTTTTTTTTTCGATTCTATGACCATTTGCAATAACTGACAATGTGACTGATTTCTTTACATTCATAATTGTGTCCGCGCATATTTCCTACACAAAAACTAAGAATGAATGTTTTAGCTGTCATTATTTTTATTCCATACAAGAAGTTTATCTCTACCCATGTATTTACACGGTTTTGTGGTTTTTTTAATCGCTTATATTATATCTTTTTAGTTGTATGCAGGCTGCCACAGACACAGCATGATTCATGAACAAACGCAGAGTAACTTTCTCTTGTTTAATAGTAAAATAAGAGCTAACGGATCGTCTTTAGTTAAAAAATGCAGATGTGCATCTTTCTTCTCTTATAACTTGACCATTACTACTCGCGCAGATTTAAGATTTCTCATGGTAAAAGACATGATATTCGTAGTCAGTTTAACAGATTTTGGAGAGATCTGTCGAGCCTTTTTTAAATTAACAATCATTTATTCATAAGTTTGTAACTAAAATAGGACAAATTGTGTACTCTACAAACACTTGTCTAGAACAAAAACTAAGGCACAGAAACTAACCATTCTAACGCAGAATAAATTTCAAGACATTGAGCTTTTAGTACATCACAAGCATCAAACAGTTCTTCGCGTTTTGTCCGAATGTTCTATTCTTACCCCTTAAGCCTACATTAACCATAGAAGCGCTCAGCGTTTCACCGGAAGTAGCCCCACCAAAAATGCCCAGACGCCACAGCCGATCGGTTGTAAACATGGGGGGTTTGGCGCTGGGATCTCAGCTACCAGCTACTGAAAAATGACCATTTACGGCTCAACAGATGATAAAAGGTATATAAAAACCATATCACATTATCGATCGATATCTTGGCCAAGAGAGGCTCTACGAGGCCAAGATAACTTGCAAGGTCATTGGTTACTAATTATAACTTCAACCTGTAATTAACGTCATTTTCCAGTTCACAATTCAATTTTCTTGATAAATGCAGATTTTCCAGCCGCACAAAAACCCTAAGATAAGGAGGAAGATTACCTATAGAAAGTAGCCAGGTTATAGCCGATTTGCACAGGAAAATCTATTGGGGACACAACCATACTATGGGACAATGTTCCAGTGTGCGAAATGCGCAATCTTGCAATTTCTAATACAACTTCTCCTATTCAGAGCTGAGACTTACAGTAAATATCTGATAAGTTACAGAGGCAACTACCGATCCTTTGCTACGGAAGTCCAATAAGCCAATACTGTCTCTCTCTTTTTCTTTAATGCATTGAGTTGATGATGATGCAGCAAGTACGGAACTTTCAGAATGTACAAATTTTTTTTCTTTTGGGGGGGGGGGGGGGGACGGAAGATTACAGCACTGCAGAACTGGTTTTTTCCCCCCTATTACTCTTAGCGCCCATCACAAATCCGGTAGTTTTGACACCTTAAGGGGAGACATACACTCTAGGAAAAATTTTCTAAACCAATGACTTTTATTCACTTTCATGTAAAGGTGCCAGAAGTTCATAGGTAAATAGGATGTACTAGGGGTGAATTTGTTGGATTTTCCTTTAAAATGGGTCTCTGTGGTGGCCATCTTGGATTTTCAAACCAGTTTCTTAGTGCAGAAGAATTTCATAGTAATATTGAATTATCAGCCTGAAATTTGGCACACACGTACAAACCTATATGGACTGGGGATACATGTGATGATTTTGACCTATTTTTTAAAATAAAAAAATGAGCCCAAAGTCATTAGACCCCCTAGAGTCAGTTGACGAAATTTTGGGGTACATATTACAAAAAATTTGAATATTTCCACAAATTACTAATATTCCCTAATTCCCTTACATAGATCTCCAGAATCAATCTTAAAGCACCTGAACGCCAAATTTGAAGCTTCTAGCTTCGGTAGTTTTTGAAAACTCCTTGCACCCAGGAGGTCACATATGTCAAAAAGTAGACTGAGAAAAACGGAAAAAAACAGGGATTTTTAAAAGGATTTTTAGAGCAATTTGCACTTTTCAAACGACCTTTTAGGTCAATTAGGGTGTTTTTTCAACAGTTTCTTCATCGTGACCCGATAGAACAGATGTCAAAGGAAGTTTTTGCGCAAAAAACAAAAGTTGGATAGTTTGAAAAAATTCATCGATATTGCCTGGGATCGCCGACCCGGGTCTTCCCTTAATCAGTACGGTGGTAGAGCAGGTCGAAAATCGGTAACTACCAGAAAAATCGGTACATTTGGGCAGCTCTGTACCTCTGATCCTGAACGACCCAAAAATTACCCCGGACGGAACCCGATTTCCGGCTCAAAGTGCAACGGATAATTGCATACCTGCCAACATAAATGATGACACTATGAGGAGGGAGGGGGGTGATGAGAGGGAGTGGGGGGGAACAATTACAGCGAATTATAGGCGATTTCCAGGTTGAGAACCATAGATATGGGGTACATAGAAGTGGAACCAATAAATTGGCAAAAAGATATTAATCCGAATACAGGAAAAAGAGGCTAAAACAGCACCTGGACATGGATGGCTGGTGCCTCTATAAATAAATCATTGATGGTCTGGTCTGACCTGCCAACATTGCCTGGGCCAAAATCTGTAGTTGGACGCAAATTTTTGTCCAAAAATCTGGTAGTTGACTTAAAAAATCTGTAGTAAGCTATATTACCTCTTGTCGCATACTTAATTTGGGACCCTTATTAATATTTTATTTTGACCCACATCAAATATGCACGACTGTGTTTGCGACTTCAAACAAATGTAGAAAATGACAAAGAAAAAAAAAAATGACAAACATGAAAACTACCAGAGGCATTTACCCTATTAGTAGTTGGTGCAGTTCCTGTCCTATTCATACCTGCACGAACACACACACAAATGAAACCAAAAAACCACAACCCCCCCAAAAAAAAACAGAAGCAAAGAAGAAAAGATGAAGAAAAGATGAAGAAAAGGTGAGCCTTGGATGACTTAGGCCTAGCCTTGGCCTTTTGTCTTCGCAGAGTTTACAAGGAAAGAGTATGACGGATCCCGAGTCCACACAAGGCCTGCACCAACCCGCATTTTGCAGAGAGTTTTCTAGATCTAGAGGTAATCAAAAATTTAGAATACTAAAATTTGCTTCCAAGAGTGTATCTTTAAAAAAAATAATCCTCCCCCCATTCCGGAGTCCTATACTACGCAGCACTCAGACTTTGAATGAACTTTGGTGACCCCTACAAGTGCCGGTGCTCACAATGTGATGGAACGCGCAAGTTCATTGACCAGTCACAATGGCGAACCCGACAAGACGCTTGTATAACTATAACTTTCTTTTCTTTTCTTTTTTTTTTCCACAAGTGACAGCACACGACAAATATTGATTTATTTTCAAGGCGACACAGCGTTTGCCATGCACAGCCTGCATGTTGTTACAATTAATGTTGCGTTATCAAACTACTACCAGCAAATTTCTGGGTGGTAGCGAAAGTGAAAGTATATCTTGATTATCCCGATCAAACGTCGGTATCACACCCGCTTGCCACCATAGCCGCCTGTCTGCATGAAGAAACATACTCTCGAGGGAGCCGAATGAATCACAATCGCGACCGGCAAAAATGAACTTTCGGGCGTTATCGGATTTGGTTTTCAAATATTTGATAACTTTCTCAAATTCCCGAGGCCTGGCAGTCACCCTGCTGAATCCCGAAGTCGGTTGCTTCATCTCAAAATCGGTGGATCAGTAGTTTGTCCCAAAAGTTGGTGATCTACCGATTTTTTCTGTAGGGTTGGCAGGTATGTAATTGGCACTGCTACAATGGCGAGGGTCAAGATTTCATTAACTTTAAAGTCTGATGCTGCAGCACTGCTAACCAAATAGAAATGTTGCCTTTAAAGTTCCCCGTAGCCACAAACCTCCGTAATAAAATTTGCCCTGTTCTTCTGATACACAAACAGCCAGTGACTAGCAAATCAGCCCCAGGTAACCCACTTTGCACACTTCAATTATCAACTTTCACACATACACCAAAAAAAAAGGATTAATACGACACACAGTAAAACACATGTTATCTCATGAACACACATTATTTCAGCAAAATGTCTCACACAAAACTACCTGCGTCAGAACTTGGTAGATGTGAGGGTGCATCAGCCCCTTCTGATGTCTGTCAATTGCTACACGCAGGATTTCTGAGGTCGGTTGGGGTAAGCCAGGACTTCTCTGGAAACAAGGTGGGAAAAAAAGCACTTTTAATTTTTAGCTCTCATGATCCTGTTTACTTCAAATGATTATCAGAGAAGAGAAATAGATTGATAAAATGCTGAAAGGATCATTCCTCCTTAAATAAAATGGGATATAATTTTACTATAGTGTAAAGGAAAAGTAAGACTACATAAATATTCCACAGCTGATAACTTTTCAAAACTAAAACACAGACCGACTTTATCCACATGGCCAGTCAAGCTGGTGGGCATTGGCCAAGTAACCCCCCTCCAAACCCTTCACACATTTTTCTGCATGTGATAAATTCAGGCTCAAAGGTAACTATGGTAACAGGTGCTTACAATTCACTTCATTTTCACCATTCCCAAAGCCGGTCTTGAAAGTTCATAATTCTTAATTTAAGCATCAACAAGTTCATGAGGAGCAAGACTAGAAAACAGAGAATACATATTTGCCAACACAAAATTGGACTTTGGTATTCAAACCCCCAAAAACATTAAACACATTCTTCCAACTGTTTGGCAGCTATGAATATTCATGGTACAAATCGATGGCTGGATGCAAGACTGACATACTCCATTTTGAAATTTGATCTTTGTCAGAGTTTTCATCCAGCAATCAAGGTACCCAATGAACTAGTTCACATTGAGAATACAAAGAGAGGTTGAGAAACAATAGACGGAAGTTCAGTACAAACCTTCCACTGGAAACCCATATGACCAGTCAGTAAAATCACATTCAAGCTGGTAATAAACTTCTCAAAGGCAACCCTCAGATCAAACAAACCACAAGGCCTACTTCATCTAAAGGACATGCAGTCCTTAAACAACTAAACTTTTAAAAAATTGTCATACTTAGAAAGCCAGAGAAGCTGTTCTAAAGCCTATAATCTGACCTGCCACTCTTAGAAATCTAAAAATCAGGATCGACGAAAAATCACACGAGTGACTGCTAAACTGACTTCAGGGTGTCCATAAATAAATACATGTACGTTAGCCATGTGTGTATGTGCGTGTGTGTTAAGCATCACTTCAAGCACTCATAGTCAAAGTGTCTCATCACACACACACATACACACCCCAAGTAAATCAGGATGAGTGGCAAGTCTGCTATAATCAACTAGCTTACCTTGCTCTGAGCATCTCCCATCGCATTTCCTGCACAAACAAATGGTAGAAAAATATAGTTATCTGTGAAGAATGCACATAAAGTAAAGCCTAAGTTTTCCCTAAAATCATCCTAAACCTTATAAAAGACGAAAAAGTGTAAGTAAACAAACACATGCATTATTTGACAGATTAAATCAACACTAGTCTCGTCTTTCACTGCAATTATTGACATGGTTTTTACCTTCATCAAATCCAGGGAAAAACAGTTAACCTTAGATTTCAACACCTTAAATTATATTTGGGTGTCACATGTCTAACACCAATTGACAACTTAAATTTAGCACGGTCTAAAAATAGTGCAGCAATCATCAGAACACCAATTGACAACTCAAATTTAGCAACGTCTTAAAATAGCGTGGCAATCATCAGATTATGGTAGAAAGGTTGTGTTAGCTGTCGAAAGCCAGACGGCGGGATTCATACTGCCACAAAGTATACACCAGGTAATCCAGTTTTCAAAGAAACTTGAACAAGAAAAAAGATCGTTATTAAAACAACTCTTTTTCTTTCACAAACCAACAATATATCATTTTCCTTTGAACAATAAAGAAAAAGATGAATCGTGGTGCACTTCCTCCAATCAAAGGAAGCTTTAAGTCCATCTCCATAATTCAGTAGATACTAGACTAACAATACAAGCTAAAGGCTTAACAAAACAGAAAGATTACAAAAAATCTAGAGGGAATTTCATCAACCCCCAAAAGGAAACAGGCCACAAGCAAGATTCTTTCTGGGGCCTCTGTCCTTGACCTTTACAGAGTAATTCAAGTATGAACAAATGCTGTTATTGTGTAGCCTCTCCTTAGTTAAAGCTTGTGGGGGTAAGCATAGCAAAGAAACATATTCCTCATACCACCTTTCTATCATGTAAACAAAACCCAACCCAAACTTGCCAATTTATTTAAAGCCACAATGTTCCCACCAGAAAAGGGTTTTTGTGCTTTTGAGGTTCGAAACCTGACAGCGACGAAAAATTTCTTCTCCATACTCGAAAATTTTCTACTTTCATCTCTCTTCCAGTTTTCCAGTTCTGTTGTCATCTGCTTTCATTTCCACTTTCTTAACACTTTGCTCCCACGGGGCGCCGATAAGAAGCCGTCCTTTTTCACCACGGGACGCCAATCGGCGCCAGTGAGATATAGCATGTACCACACCTGTATCCTGGTCCATGGGGATAAGTGTTACGCCCTGTAGGTGGAAAGTCTTAACGGCAAAGGGGCCAACAAAGTAGGAAAAACAGTCACAAACGTAAAACTAGGTTGTCACAAACGTAAAACTAGGTTGTCACAAACGTAAAACTAGGTTCAGTCACAAACGTAAAACTAGGTTGCACTGCAACTTGAAGACTTGAAGAACCGACAGTCAACTACCGAATGCCAATAAGTACACCAACCAGATAATCAGAGAGTACTGACCTTGAGTTCGTGCATCCTGGTAAGACTGAAAAAAAAAGAGAAAAACAAAATGATCTTTCTGCTAAAATAACAAACAGAACAAGGGAGCGGGATACGGTGGGAAAGGGAAATCTAATTAAGAGGAAGGGCGGAGATCCAATTTACAAAATTTACTCAACAAATTTGCAAAGAACACATTAAATTACAGATACATTTTACACCTTCTGAGATATAAGGTTAATTCAACTTCTAGAAACTTGGTCAAACTGTGAGACACATGGCTGAGAGGAAAAATCAATAAAGGAGGGACAAAACCTACAACTCTTATCACATTTAAACCCTGAACACCCATGCTGCCAAGTTCATCAACCAACAACATTGCGATAGCAGGTTTATAAATTACACGAAAAAGCATACTGTGCAATACGCAGTACATGTGCAAAATTCAGCTTTCCAGTTCAACAGATTGAATTTAAGCATGACACTACACAATTGTTATTGAAATTGAAACAATCCCTTCCACAGCACTTTGTCAATAAAATGTTTGTCTGCTTAACAGCCTTTTCTTTTCACATGAACTCAACGTTGTCACCTTTTATTTTATGTGCCTAAACACCACATTTGCGCAACCACACAACGTCTGAAAAGTGTTGGCAGCTCTGGGTTGGTCAATCACATACAAAACAAACACCAGCTTGGAAGCAGACATTTTGTAGTATAGATTTAAGAAATCCTTTCCTGACTTCTATTTTGCCAGATCTTTTCTTAAAAAGAGATCTATCAATCATGCAGTCATAATTGTAAAAATAGGAGCTTCGCATCAAGTATGTTCTACAGGGTTGCTTTTTTTTTTTCAGGTTTCCCCAAAACGACTTAAAGAAAGTGAAAGGTTAAAAAATGAATATTAAGATCAAAAAAAGAATATTCATGACAGTAAAAAGATACATACATGAGCATTATGGTGGCCCGGTGGCATGCCATATCCAGGCTGGTGTGGAAGTGGTGGCCCTGAAAAATACAATTTATTCTATTGTTAAACACCTTAAAGGTAAAACAGATGCCAATAACAATAAAAGCAAAACACCAATAATACAACAAGGTTAAGAAAAAAAAAGACACAAAACACACACACACAAAAAAACCCACAAAGACAGTTTAACCTATTCGCTGCCGCGACCGTAGAATTGACGGGTCTGAACCAAATAGCGCTGTGCCTCTGGCCCCTAGGATTTACCGGACCCACAGCGGGTTTGGAGCGCCCATTTAGTTTCGGCTGGCGCGAGTCACGAGGTCATTTGGCGCTTTGCCTGCGCCTCCGGGGATTTCCCTTATCAGCCGAACACCGGCAGCGCTCTTGTATTTTTTTTACAAAGTTTACCAGCACAGTGAGCCAAAGCTAATGTAAGATGAACATTTTAATAAAGACCACGTAAATATTCAACATATTAAGGAAGAAAATGAAGAAATCAGAAGACCATGGTACATTAAACTTAAAAGCTGTGAAGTTCTCAAAAAGGGGACTTAATTTGGTAAATGTGTCATGGGTAATCAATTATAAACATCAATTTAAATGCGATTGCCCCCAACGAATTAAATCAAGTTTGCACACAGGACTGAGAACAAAATGAAATTTGCATATGCAAGAAGCTTCTGGATCCGTATTTATTCAGGTTTGAAGTAGATTTTTGCAATACTCTTGCTTTGCGGCCTTGATCTTTCATAGCGATATCCACGATACATGTAACTACAGAACAGATCTTTCCTTGCCGATACACTTATGAAAAAACAACCTAAACACAAAATACAAAAAGAACACAATATTGCTGGACTGGAGCAATTATCTCATTTTTCCGCTGTAAGCTTTCGTCTTTTGATGGGTGGTTCACATGACAGAGTAGCTTAGGGTGGGTTTGGACGTGTTGTGACTGCACGATTGTTTTCACGTGTTTTTCTTTGTCTTTTATGGCTGCTACTCGTCTTTCCAGCTTGGCCACGGTTGCATGAATGAGCTCACCCCCTTGCTCACCATGGAAGGCCATTCCAAACCCATATTTTTGTATCCAAGGAACGCAGTGTTTCTCAAGGATGTGTTGTTTGGGGATGACCTTTTCATTTGATTGATTTTGATTGAGTAGCAAGTGTTTTACGGCACTATCGACTCAAGACCTTTTATTTGCCAAATATGTTTCTGCATAAAGACATATATCGTGTGCTGCATGACTGAATATGTGGTATTCTCTCTAAAGTGATTGGCTTTCCATGTGCAATTACTGTGTGGATATCTTTGAAGGTGTCTTTTACGTGAACAAATTTCTCTCTCAGAGCAATCAATGCGTGTCTATTATGCTTTGATTTCGTGTACATTCAACTGTTCTTTTTGTTAAAAATGACGCTAGCTGTCTGTACACATGGGCTGTGATGTATTTCTGGCAGTGGTTTCCTATAAATGAACGGCTGTGGTAGGCCTGTGGTGTGATGTTGTGTTGTTTGAGGATGTTATCAAATTCAAAGCAAGCAGGATTTGACCTTGGAATAAGCTCCTCAAACTGTAACTCTGACAGCTGATCATGTACACTAGAACCCTCCCTCTCAAATCTCTCCGCTTCTCGTGGATTATCTGACAAAACCTGACAGCCCTGTAACAACTGAATGTCCCCCTCGTTTTTTTCAGCCCTTTCCTTGTTTGCCGTAGACATGCACATTTTGTCCTATTCCAGGCCACGGCAGTGCAATTTTAGTTGCCGCGGGGGGTTCCCCGCCGGGCGCCTTATCACGCCGGGGTCACGGGGGTCAGCTCCCTGTCGCCGCTCTGTCTGGGCCGACTTAATTTTTGGTACTTTTCAACGTACAATTTAAGGTGCATCCTTGCATTTATGGTAATTCTCATTTAGTGCACCCAAAGCACGCATTTCTGCTCTTGAGACTCAAAAAAGAATGGACGTTGTAACTTGTCCGGTTATTTCATTAGACGCGCTGCAGTCAGCAATGCTAAATTGTAATTTTTTGGGGACTAGCGTGAATAGACCTGCATGTGAGCATCAACCAGATTGTCTGAAAATTTTGCGCAACCCCCCCCCCCCCCCCCCCCAAAAAACCACCCCTATGTGGGTGTCATAAGGAAGGAAATCCGAGTAACGAGCGACCACCCCAACAAACACAATAAAGAAGAGACCTAACCCTACCCCCAAAAAGAACCTGCAACGGGCCTCATGTAAAAAGGCCAAAACAAGTCCTAAATGGAAAAAAAAATGTTTAATTAAAAAATCACACTCCAAAACAAACAAGGAGCATAGATATAGATTCTAGATCTCTAGATCTATATGGCTTACATCTACATTGCTATAGGGTTTGATACAATAACACAATAGAATTATTCTCTAGACTAGATCTAGATTTTTCTAAATAAATAAATAATTCACGCACCTGAAGAAATGCTTATTTTTACCAATATTAATACGAAGTGACTATTTCTCCGAACGTTCGGAGAAATAGTGCCGATCTTTATTTCTCCGAACGGTTTCCGGCTTCCGCTCTGGTCGTGATTGTTTGCCTATTTGCGAGAGTTCGGCGCCAACTTTCATTCCGTCATTCTGCGAGGTCTGGGAAGGAGCAAATCAAAGGTGGTATCTGTTCTCAGCTTCTCCTCCGGCCGTGTGCCCACTGGTTTAGCGAGGCGGGTACTGCCTGAGGCACCCGAGAGACGGAGAAATCTGACCCTCTTTTCTTTTGAGTGGACGGTTATCTTCCATTAAAAAAAAAAACGGAGCAAATTTTTGGGTTTATATCTATTTCAATTTTCAAGAGCTAGATCTAGTCTAGAGATTTTTAGATGAGTGTAAAAACGTGAAAAAGAAAGGTTTCACAACAGAATGAAATCAAAACTAGAACAGCCCAGAAACAACCACAACAATTAACAAATAAGGGCGTGTGTCCACCTGTCCGAAGAAGATTGACCGTTTTAACCCTAAATGTGCGTAATTTGTTTAAAAAAGTACAGGATATTGCATGGAAATTATGGAACCACACACAGGGGGCCTGCCAGTGTCAGTACCTGTACTTGGTTTTGGTGGAACGCTCTAACATAGCACATTTAAATCTATACAGGTATATATATTTAGAATCTAATGAAGGTAGGAACATCAAATTAAATGACGTTACACAATACCTTTTGTATGAACATCAAATTAAATGAGGTTACACTATACAACCCCCCCCCCCCCCCCTTTTCCCCAACAAAAAAAAAATTAATAGAAAAACAACACATCAGAACAATAACAAGAAAAAAAAATACACACCAACAAAATATAACACCACAAAGAGGGAAAAATGAACGAAAAATAAAAGAGGAACAGCAATACAAATCGTATGTAACTGTAACGTATTCAACAAATCAACGTGGTGACAACAAGTGAGAAAGAGACGAAGTGAAGCTAAGTGAACTTTCTTTCAAAAGTAAAGAGTTTCATTTTCTTTTCTTTTTTTTTGGACTTTTTCGGGGACCAAAAAATCGAGCCACGATTGATTGGTCGCGGCCTCGACAAACGCAGATGCTAGCTCTATGTGTCGTTATCAATAACCCTCCATAGATCTAGATCTAGACAGCTCACGAGTGAACGCAACACATTAAGTTTAAGAGCAGCACCCTTCATAGGCCACACGTCATATCTGTAGCGAAAAACTGTTTGGAACTGTAGCATTTCTTTATATAAATACGGACATTTTTTGGACCGATTGAACCATATTGTATACGAACAATCTTTGGTAGGCCTATAATATAATTATAGATCTATATTTTATTTTTATTATCCGAAATATGCGGGAAAGGGTGTGATTTCAGAGTGTTCGGAGAAATAGTGCCCAGCTTTATTTTCCCGAACGTTCGGAGAAATAGTGCCGGCCATATTAATATTACAGCACAACCTATGATAGGGTTTGACACAAAAGAATTGGAATCTGAATCCTCCATTGAGGTCTATAATGATCTATATAAATCTAGATTCTAGATCTATATATATTCTATTAGAACAAGAGAGTCGGACTTGAATGAATCCACACGATCTGAACAATTGAATTAGTCAACAAACGAAATTCAAAATGGCCGCTCGAGCACGAAACTGAAAGTAGATCATTTAAGTTGTCGTCCTTTTTCGTATTCGCATTTCTACTTAGGTTCCGACAATTATGTCGGAAACGCCGACGTCGGCAGTCGGCGGTGCGCGCGTCGGCGGTCGGCACGAAAACGAAAGTGCCGACGAAGCCGACGGGAGAAAAAGGGGTCGCTGGCAGTTGGCCAAGCCTCGCACTACGCACATTGACTGATACGATACAGGCGGGCCTAGCGATAGCATCGCCCCGTTCGCGGGTCGGATCGCGATTGTCGGATTTCAGACGATTGTCGGCAAACATGCAGGTCTATTAAAATAATACATATCCCTAACCAGCTCTAGACATTTGCCATTCAAAAAATTAGAGGACACTCTCTTTTCTTGAGCAGTAAAGAAAGGAAAATTAAATGTAAGAGATTGCCTTCCACTACAGCAAGAGAAAACAGGCCAAGTGTCAGTAAACAGGTTTGATGTTCCTCCCTAAATTATTTCCACAATCTAGCTTGTGATTTTATACAAAAACATTAAAATATTTATGCACATGTATTTTTTTAATTTTATGGCCTGTTCAATAGATGGAAAAAACACCTTTTAAAAAGTTATGTTCTATTAGAAAGTCTCAATAAAAAAAGATTTATTTAACACAAAAAAAACCCATCTCTTTTCAATATTTCAAAATATCGTCAAAGAGGAAGAGGAAGAATGAGACTTACTACCTCTCTGGTGTGGGCCTTTTTTGTAGTATCCATCTTGTGTCCCATTGACAAAGTATTGCACACTTTGTTTGAATCTCTCTACCAAATCAGTCTTGTTCGTTTTGGCCAACCTGCAAAAAACAAGCAGCCACAACCTGAATAACGACTGGTAAAAACGATATCAAGAAAAATATGGTAATAAATAATTATAATTGTCACTGTCAAATTGAAGCAATTGCGACCAGAATTTTTTTATTTTCTATTTCTACAAACTCAATTTCAACCCAACAATCAAACTATTACTATGACAAGAAAATGAACCAAAAAAAAAAAAAGCAAACACCAAGAAAACAATATGCAACAGACACAAAATAGCCACATTTCATAAACAGCTCAATGTCACTCATACCATTTTTAAAAAAATCATTATTCACATTCATAAAAACAAATCTTACTTGAAAACATCATTGCCAACTACATCCAGATTATCAACAGCTGGCAAATTTCTAACATAATCACATGTTGCCTTAATCATCTCCACATCCAGCTTCTCACGGTTTCTCTGAGGAAAAAAATAATAAATGTATCAGCACACCAAATCATTGTTCCAAAAAGTATCAATCAATGACTAACATCGCAAAATTTAGAAGTCATACCAACTTTCCAATTTCAAGATAAGTTCAAATGTGATCTGAGCCCAGGTAAAAATAGAGAGGACTAACACTACATAGCACAAACAGAACAAAACTGTGTGGCATGGCACATTCTCTGAAAAATATCCTCAACACCCCCCCCCCTCCCCCATAGAGCCCACAGGCCCTGTGTTCCTGAATTCTAGGTGCGTAGGTCTACTGCTAGATAATACTGTACACTGGACTACACTCAGATGTGTGTTCAGGTCCATTGGATTTTTAAATTTACTAACAAAACCACTCATAAAAGTCAGTTTTCAGCAAATGGTTAAAGTAGAAACAGTCCAAAAAACAAATTCATACTTGAAGCAGTCCACAGGTTTTAGTAGAAGAAAGTAGACTAATCAGAATTGCAAATGAACATTTTAAATCATAAATTAACGCATGCATCAGAATTACATTTTTTTAAATGATTCATCATGAACTGAACTTGAAACTTTTAACAATTATCCATGGAAGTAATTTTCATACATGATTTTCATGAAAATAGTAAATTTCAATCCCTTTTCAGGTCTCAACAGTCAGAACAATCACAATTCAAGTTTTGAATACAGTAGTCTCCGCCTAAGATCCCACCGCTTACGATCCCGGTTCGCTTAAGATCCCGCTGTTTTAAGAAAACAGAATTTTTACTATACAAAAGTCACCCCTAAGATCCCGCTCTGATTCACTCTGAAGGTCTACATTCGGCTAAGATCCCGCATTTCAGATCATAATTTGAGGAACAAAAACCCGGGTGGGCACAACCGATCAAGCAAGAAAGAAAAATTGAGTTCAATAAACTGTCCGTTGAGTCAAAGATCAGCCACTATCGTGAATGTGATCAAATACACATTGTAAAACTGGATGAAGCGATACAATGTTTGCCCCCGACGGGATCACACCGGGGTGTGAACTGACCGACCCGATTGTTTTCCCCACGCATCGCACTCACACCTGAGCTCTCCCCCTAAACTTACATCACTCGCTGGGTGGGTAGGGCCTACACGTTCGTTCCAGGTGGGATCACATCGAACCGTGAACTCTTCCCTGACCATTGCAGTCAGTGGGCGTTGATTGCAACAGTTGTCTCTACGCCCGAATTTGCTAGACAGACTGAATTTTAATTGGTGTGTTCACGACGTAATGGTGTGTAACGAGAAAGGCATTTGGGGGGGGGGGGGGAGATTCGGTCAAAGATGGAAAGCTATAAAATAAATTTTTGACAGGTAAAGGGGAGGGGCAACAGAATAAGCGTAGATCTTGAGACTCAGGATAATAAGTGAAAATGGCACGCCTCATGGCACTATGCACTGTGATAGGCCATTACGGTCAGGGTTGGGTTGATTTAAATCAGTTGATTTTTTTTATTTAAATCAACTTGATTTTTTAAATAAAAATCAGTGATTTAAATCACTTTTTTTTAAAATTATTTTTATTCAGTTTTTACACATTTCAACATTCAGAATTCCTTTCCTTGGTTTCATTAAACAGATATAAGGTTTAGTAGACTAATATAATCATGCTTAAAAGTCTGCTTTCCCCCCTTTCACTGTAAAATAATGCAGTATTCAATTTACTTTTTTTTCATAATTGAAAACCAGGGTTGGGTTGATTTAAATCAGGTCGATTTAAATCAGTTGATTTTTAAAAATTTAAATCAACTTGATTTTAAAAATAAAACTCGGTGATTTAAATCACTTTTAAAAATGTATTCTGTTTTTACATCTTTAAACATTCAGAATTCCTTTCCTTGATTTTATAAAACAGATATAAGGTTTAGTAGACTAAAATAATCATGCTTAAAAGTCTGCTTTCCCCCCTGTCACTGTAAGTAGTAAAATAATACTGTATTCAATTTACTTTTTTTTCATAATTGAAATTAGCATTTTCTTTTTCTTTTTCGACAAACACAAGCGTGCGCACATACACACACTGTAATGTAATAAAATGCATGTTTATCTATGCATAATTACCCCCCCCCCCCCCCTCTCCTTTTAGACTGACCTTTTCTTCATTTTTTGTCTGTAGCCATAATTCACTGATATAGCAGATTAAGGCTTTCTAAAATTGCAGTTGCTTAATTAATCATTAGTTAAAATAAACACAATGCATTTTGCACTAAAAGAACTTACTTTTAGCCACCAAAAATCCCAAACTGTGTCGACATTTTTTTAAAAATAAAAAAAATCCGATTTAAATTGTTTTTTTTTTTTTTTAATTTTTATTTTAAAAATCCAAAAAATCACCAACCCTGATTAAGGTTAACCACTCTTTGCTCGCCATATGTCATAAACCCACCAAGTTCATTTTAAGGTGGAGGGAGATCATTTTACTGATTGTAAGCCTTAACATTGGTCCCCATAGATTCTTCCCTGGGATCATCAGTTAAGATCCCGGTTCGCCTAAGATCCCGCATTTCTTTGCCCCCGAGCACCGCGATCTTAGGCGGAGACTACTGTATAGGCAAATATGCTCAAGTAAAGTACTTGATTTTAGAGCACATGCAACTGAAACGTGAAGAGCTGAACCAGATCTTCAGTTCTTGAGCAACAAGCCTGCTCGCCTGTATGTAAGAAACGAACTAACAAACACACCCATTTCCCCTTCCATACCCACAAAAAGTGACGAAACAAAACACAAACATGAAATTTTAACAGAATGCAGGAGCGAGAAACCCAAAACAATTAGCAAAGTTCAAATGAGGCATGATTACCTGTTCGCCAAACCTATTCCAGCGACCAGACTAAAATATAATATGTAAACAAGTACAAGGGACGGTTAGAGCGGTTTGCACTAATTTGATATAACCTCACCTGGAGCTAACAACAAAACAAAACATTTGAATATAGACAGGAAAGGAAAAATCAATGGTAGTGTTATTGGTACTTTTTAAAAAGGTTGTATTACTGAAAGCATGATCATTGAGAATCGTAGAAGTGACATTATTATATTGACAAATCCTGACATCAAGCAAACTACACCCAATTGGATACGCTGGAAACTGTTACTCTTACAAGTTTGTTCACCATACTGGCTCTTTGTCTTGGAAGAGGCAATGGCCTACAATGAAAGCTTTATATTAACACCCTGTATCCGATATCTAGTGCCCACGCAACAGCCACAATGAAACGGATAAAATAAGAAACACTTGACCAAAAAAGACAGCAACAATGTTCAATGCCACAGTACATGCATTTAGCCCCTCATTCTGCAACAGACTGAAAATGGTGTAAAAAAAAATAGTCTCTCTTTAAACTTTAACCTTAACCCAAAGTTCAAATCTAATCCTTACCCTGGGTTTTCCAGTGTCTGAGTTGGGCATTAATTCACGAAATTGCACAAGATCTTCATCAGTGAGAATGTGATTGCCTGAAGAAAAAAAAATGACCTATAAAACAACAAGCTTTAATAAAAAGCAATACAGTGACAAAACACATTTTAAAAAGCTCTTTCAATCAAACTAAAGGAAACACATACATATATACCTTATGCATGCACATAGAGAAGTACTTGTCTTGTAAAGAAGTCCACATAAAATATAAGTGATGTCATCACCATGAAACGACTGAATGTTGCGACTATATAAAGGCACTAAAATCTGATCGCTACACATTTGATTTTTTTATCAACACAAAAGTTAGGAAAAACATTTCTTGCTAAAAGAACAGTTCTTTTGTTTTAGTACATTAGTCTCTAACACAGATTCACACTAGCGAGGGGGGGGGG